TAGCCACAATAACACGTGTGGACACTACAGCTCTTCCTTAGCCACAATAACACGTGTGGACACTACAGCTCTCGCTACACGTTCCACCCGGCTACACACACACGGGCTCTCCAGCCCCGTAGCTTCCAGGGGAACCTACAGACCCACCCCAGCTTGGGTATGGGTCACGACCACTGGGTCCCGTGGCCCGGTCCTCACACGGACGTCCGGCCCCGGGTCCCAAGGTCCCGCCTCTGAGCCACACAGGGTCCTGGCCCTTACAAGGACAGCGGGACTAGGGGTCTCAGGGCCCTACCTCTTCTTCCTCCGTCTTCTGTCTTCACTGGTCACCAACTCCCCGAGCGCCCGCGCGCACCGCCTTATATAGCCCTCCGCTCCCGAGGAGACGGAGTCTATGCGGACCGCGATGTGAGCACCCACTAGTCGACCAATCACGACGCGCTGTTCCTACGATCCGTTTTCCCAGCGCGTGTTACCACCACACAACCAATCGCCCCGCGCTGCCACACGATCACTCCCTGTCAGCGCGCGTCACCAACACACACCCAATCACCACCACATAACCCATGACCCCGCGCTGCCCTATGATCCCTCACCATCAGCGCGCGTCACCGACACACAGCCAATCACCACGCGCTGCCACACGATCCCAACTGTCAGCGCGTATCACCACTACAGATGCATCAAAAAAATACGGCATGCAAAAAATGCTTACTTTTCCTTCACTCTCCTGGAATCACATGGAAATGCCAGGATCTTCTGGAAAACAATCAAATGTATTGAAAAGGCATCCAACACAGATAATCTGCCCATTGTGCTTAACCAAAATGGGGACTATTTTTCAGAGCCCCAAAAAATTGTTGACAATTTAACCTTCATTTTTCTGAAGCTGATGACCTTTTTGATAATGTATTGGGAGTCACCCCTGCTCATGCAATTTCCTCCACCCCTGTCCAAACATTACGCGAATTTAGTTTCCAGCCTATCCATGAAAGTAATGTTCTGAAACAACTGTCCTACCTCAAAGGGTCCTCCTCTACCGGAGCAGATAGTATTCCCGTCTTTGCTCTGCTAACTGTTGGTCACCTAATATACAACCCTATAGCCCATATTTTCAACCTGTCCATCAAAGAAGCATCAGTACCTCTAGAATGGAAACATTCATGTGTTCGTCCAATTCTCAAAGGGGGCCCTGAAGATGATCCAAATAATTACCGACCTATCTCAATTTTGTCCCCGTTGATGAAATTTTTTGAAAAATTATTGAACTACCAAATTAGCAATTTCCTGTCCGACAATCTATTACATCCAAAACAATCTGGGTTCTGAAAAAAATACAGCACCACATCTGCTGCATTAGACTCTGAATCACATTTACAGTAGCCTTGATAATAAGTAGTACTTATTGACTTGTCCAAAGCCTTTGATACAGTCGACCACAACACCCTGCTTAGTAAACTAAGTTGCCGCCGTTTCTCCAAACACGCAGTAGAATGGTTAAAAAATTACCTCTCTTCTCGCACCCAAACTGTATTCACAGATGGTTGGAGGTCAAACAGTGTTAAGATAACAAAAGGGGTTCCACAGGGTTCCATCCTCGGCCCCCTCTTGTTTTCTCTTTATGTCAATGACTTGGGCACTGACCTGGATCATTCCAGGGTAAATCTGTTTGCAGATGACACGATACTGATTACTGCTGGCCGCTCACCAGATGACGTGATTGCTAAGTTCCAGGGTGATTTCAACAAACTACAACATCAGCTAGTTGCTCTTAAACTGGTTCTGAATACCTCCAAAACCAAGGTGCTATGCTTCTCACCAGGACTAAAGCAGGAATTTATTTTTCCCCAATTATATTCCTTAAGTAATCATCAAATAGAGCAAGTCAATATCTATAAGTATCTTGGGGTCATCTTTGATTCAAAACTGAATTTTCAAGATCACATTGATTATATTGGTAAAAGAGAAAATTAAAAATTGGTTTTCTGTATCGACACAAGCACTGCTTCCCATCTATGTTCTGCTTGAAATTGATAAAAGCTACCATAATGCCTCGATTTGATTATTGTGACATCGTATATAAATCAGCCCCCAGTACTTTACTGAAGAAGCTTGACTCAATTCATCACTCGGCCTTAAGATTTGCATTGAACTGCCCATATAGGACCTACCACTGCGATCTCTACATTGGGTCAAACTTAACTTCCCTTAATGATCGACGGCTTGTGCATCAGATCTTATTTATTCACGATGTACTTACAAAAAAATCAGCAGACTACCTGCTGGATCTCCTCACTGTTTCGAAGAACAAATGTGACCTAAGGTCTTCGCTCACTTACCAGCTTACATTCCTTATTGCCGTACAATTTCTATTGATGCCCCCAGGGTCTGGAATGCTATCGCCAATAAACTGCAATTTGGATCACTACCTGTGAGATCTTCACTCAAAACTGCTCTAGAGGAGTTGTACACACCTAGCTGCCACTGCTATTCAGAATGGCCTGAAATCAAATGTATCATTCCGGATGACCGCTGCAACGTATGATCTTGAGTTTTGATTGTGGTGTGCATGATCTTTAAAGGTGTATTGAGAAATTTGTATTCTGTTACTGATGCTCCTGCTGTTATGGAGTGACTCATGCAGCCAGCTATGGCTGCGGGGTTTGGTCGTACATGTTATGTATATCGTTTGTTGCATTTGAATCACAGTTTCTATGATCACTGTTACATTGTTTTTTTGGCTTTATTTTGGTGATTTTGAGGACGGTTTGGTCTGGCCATGTTTGTTTGTTGGAGTACAGAGTTGGCCTGATAACTTTAATCTACATTGTCTTATGGTTGTTTGTGTTTGACTTGCATCTCACTGGGATTTTTGCACACAGCGTTGAAATGCGGTGTTTTTTCTGGAAGGCTTTGCTGTTTTTTCCAGGATTTTTTCTGTTGAGTATAGTCACTTTAAGATGTTTCTTGTTCATGCTTTTGTTTTGTTGCGGTTGCACCCGAGTCAAGAGCCGCATGGCTCTTGAAAATGAAACTGAAACTGAAGAGCACCAATGTTGTACGGTATTTTAAATAATAGACCTCCTTTCGTCTCTCCACATACAAATAAAACACATTTTTGTCCATCACGGCATTCCGGATCCATATTTTACAACGGCGTTTGGTTAAACAAGAAAACTCTGGACCGATTTCGACCTTCAGGGTCTCATCAGAGAAATGGTAGAATTAGTTGATCCCTGACCAGGATTTTTTGTAAGTGAAATGCTTTACTAGAGCACAGCACTGCTCGTGCTGGTTAAATAAAAACAAGCCAACAAATCCAATGTTAATTTAAGACTACCGTCGGCGGACGGATTTTAATGTTCGAACAAACGGGGCTGGATGATGTGGGTCATTTGACATTGTTGCTCGTAAAGACATTTCTAGAAGAGTACACTACTTGCTGCAGGATCATTAGTGGTGCTCGGCAGGGCTCGCAATGGGGGGTATTTGGCTGCGGAGGGGGCTTTAGAGGTAGCAGTGGTATGCGGCCAGTCGACCCGTTGCCGCCGAGCTTAGGCCCCAGGGAGGGTGGCCTCGTGCGTGTTTCGCTTGCACCTGGTGCGGCAGAGCACATTAGCTCGGGTCCACTTCAAATGCCCACTCGGCATATATTGCCGCGGGGCATTCACTGCTGTAATGTGCATACGTAGATGGCAATAATATACTCTTAGTGGCACACTTGCAACACTTGCCTCATCCAGATTGTATGTAGCAATATTAGATCCTAACTGTTCTGTCAACGTGAAAAAAATCCTTTAGTGAGTGATTATAATCACGCTTCTGACCTCACCCCTTTAAATTTGCGGCCTTCTGTGCTGTCCTTTAGCAGTTGGCTTGGATTTTTCTCTCATGTCCTCAAGCTACATGGGGTGCCATGGTGGCGAGATGTTAACTACCTCGCCTGGTATGCAGGAGGTCGTGGGTTCGATCCCGACCCTGACACATGTATATTTGGAGTTTGCATATTCTCTCCCCGTGGGTGTGTTTTTCTCTGGGTCCTCTGGTTGTTCCTTCCACATTTAGAAGTGACCTGCTTTTTGGGTATTTGGCAGCAAAACATTTTAACACGAAAACCCACTTTGTTGAGATATCATTTGTGGCCAGGCCGCTTCTGAAAAATAACTATATAACTTAATGGGCATTACCTGGTAAAATAAATCTAGTTTAGTTTTAAAGTTTATTTTATATTCACCAAAACATGTTTACGAGTTTGCAATTCATGCTGTCATTAGAGTACAATTTTCCCATACTCAAGTTTTTGCGAATGGCCATCTCAACCAGTGGACCTCGAGGCAATGCTAGAAAATCCACATTCTTGTGCAAGGTAGCTATTCTCTCAAAAGATAAAACACTTGTTGGCCTACTAGTGGTGGCAGGATTAGCCTTTGCAAAAGGTCCGTGAATAACACTGCCGCCTGGCAGTTGAAAGCAGCTACACCCTAAAAACGACAGGAGGCAGGAAAGTGCTGCTCGTAATAACACGCAGGGCAACTAGATGGTTATGCGCATCAATTTGGCTCACCGGGGGAAAAGGTTTGCTGTATCTGCCAGGAACACATGTCTTTTAACCAATAACTGGATGTGTTCTGTGACCTGCCAAGGAGGCTTCACTACTCCACGTGGCCTCGAAGTATATCACTGGCAATTAGGCTTTTTTTTGGCGTATGCATGTGTTTTGGGTGTGTGCATGCATCTGTACGTACAGACACAGGAGTTTGTGTGTAGGGAGAGCTATGGTGCAGTAAATGTGCACTTCACAACAAACCCAGCAGCTTTGGTAACATCACTGACATTGGCCCTGTGTTGAACCCTGAGATTATGTGGAGTGGTGTGCAAACATCAGCATAGGGGAGAATATCACAGCCGGTTCTGATAACGTCCACATGACCGCGAGCACTCGGCACTTGTGCCTATGATCGTTTAAGGCTAAATATCGATGTTTATGTGCATGCGTGCAGGGTTACCTGCGCAAGGGACAGGCTCTGCGAGGCCTGGGCCAGGTGGAGCGGGCCCTCACGGCGTTCCTCACGTGCACGGCACTGGAGCCTGGCCTCCGTGCTGCTCGCACCGAAGCGGAGAAGGTGAGTAGGTGGCCCATGTCCCGGGCACCACCATTTCCCTCATGGCTACTGGAGGGGGGTGTGGGGTGGCAAGCCTTACCCTTTGAAATAAGTGCGACACGGGATGTTGCATTTCCCTTTCCTTTTTTCCACTGCTCAACTGTGCCATGCCGGGGCCATCCCGAGGCACAGCTTCAGAGGCTCCAGTTTGTTTTTCCACTGCAAAACATCTCGCTTATTTGTGAATTGACCTCGATGGTAGAGATTTAGGTTTAATTTAATTTGGCTGATATAAATGTTCACGTAATAAGCTACTTCGTTGTGATAGCTAGGGTGCTTCTGAAAAAGAGCTATACAGCTCAATGGGCCTTACCTGTTAAAAGAAAAAATGTTTAGTTTTAGTATAGTTTTAATTTGCCGGGAATGTTGTGCATAGCCAATAAGGGGGAATGATGGCACAACACGTGAATCACTACACCACCGTGGAGCTGTCGCATATGGGCACATAAGTGTTCTTTTAGCGCTGTGCCATTCCCCGGGTTTTGCCAGCAAAATCTAAAAGTGTTTAGTGACTGCGGCGACCGTTTAATTCTCACATTTTTGCACGGTTACTACGAGTTTGTAAAATGTGTTTGACCGTAAAGCGTGCTCGAAAGAAGTGAACATTTGGTTTGCTGTGCATGTTGCGCGTGCACACAGTACGCACATTTCACAAGCCGTCAAGGCCTCCCTTGGAGAGTTCTTAATGCAAAGCGTGCTTGCGGTGAACCATAACATTTTATGCAGCCCGATCCATTGCAGAGAAACGCAACTCAGCGCTTTCATGAATCCCCAGCCTGACCTGTGACAACTGCGGTTCAAATCGCAGCGTTGGGGTGGTATCCAGGTGGCTTCGGACATCTTAAGAGTGCTGAGCTGAGCCCTGCTGAGATCCAAAAATCAAATCCAGGCAGCCCTCGTGATTAAACTGGCTTTCGAGTGCACAGAGAGTTGATGGCGTCATCACGGACACCAATTGTGCATGAAAGAATCGTGCTTAAGTTTTGTTTTGCAATTAATTTAGCTACATTGAAGTTCTGATTATAAAGTAGCATTTTCACTGCCATGCGACAAACATGTATCTCTTTAGTAGAGCAAGGGTAAAAATTCTCTCCAATCGTGTAAACGAGGTAAATTACCTTTGAGAATTTTAGAATTTGTTACGTGATATCTTCTTTCTCAGAGTTTTCTAAAAGCACTCCAACCTGCTCTTGTACGCCACTTTGTTTCATCATTCGGAACCCGGACTGCCTTCCCTAACTGGCTGAGATACAAATACTCCAATGTGCTTTCCAGTTGTCTCTCTGTAGTGACTTGTAGCATCACAACCGTGTGGACCCACACACACACGCACACGTGACGTCACTACGCGGTGGAGCGTCACTACCACGCGGGTCCACACACATACATACATGACGTCATCATGTCTGGATGCGGAAATGACGTCACGGCCGGTTCGGGGGATCTGGAGGCCGTGGGTCAGTGCCGCAGGGGTTGTGTGAGGCCGTTGCCCTGGGGGCTCCGGGGGCACCTTGGGGGCCACGTGGACAGGAGAGGAGCCTTCTCGAGAGTTCTCGAAGGTGGGCGTGGCCATGGTGTGGCCCGGACACGCCGAAGCGCATATAAGCGGCCTCCGCACCGGGTTCGGGGCTGCTAGTGTCCAGGATGAAGATGCCTCATGAAGATGCCTCGTGAAAAAGAGTCAAGCCTCAAGTCAGCGTGGCCAACCCGTAGCCCTCCTGGCTTGGCCAGGCTAGTTGTATCCGAGAGTCAGTGTTAGCGAGCGATGATGTGTTTTAGCGAGGATAGATCGGTGGTCACTACCCTATGTTAAGAGTTGCCGTTGTGTTAAATAAATAGTGTTGCCTCCCAAGATGTTGTGTGTGCGCTTACTCTGAACCCATTACATCTCCAACAATTATTGCTTTTGTTCAATAAACTCGTGCATATCGAGAGCTATGCTAGTATTTTTTAAATCCAATTTTAACCTAAAATTTTATGAAAACAAAAACATATTCCAATGACAATTTTCGTGGGACAGACTCCTAATGTAATAAAAGCTGTAAAATAAACCAGAGAGATTCAAAAATGCATAGTGGCTTCCTAATATTGGAAGGAAGAGTGTTACAGACGGCCGCAGAAGTGCATCTCAAAGCGCATGATCCAGTGACCGTATTTGTTTGACGGTTCGCCAAAAGCCTGCTGCTGAGAGGATGACCGGAGTTCGCGTGATGGTTTATGCTCTTTAACGAGATCATAAATGTATTGTGGTTCATTTTTGGCAAGCACTTTGGATGTGAGTGCTTTAATTATTTTTTTTAGAAAAAATCACTCCAATAACAATGATAGTGGGGCAGACTCCTGTCCCACTATAATTACCGGTGCAGGTGCAGCCTGCTGGGATCGGACACCAGGCTTTACCTGGAAAGCTAAAATAGATTTATATGTGTTATATTTGTGATTTGTTTATCTTTCCTATACTGTGCGCTCATATTCTGTTTTTTTATTGTTTGTTGTTGTAACGTTTTGACCCGCCCCTACTCTATATCTGTGAAAAAGAGCTGTAAAGCTCATCGGGTTCCTCCAGTATAAATACATATTCTGATTCTGATGGGGCGAATGGGATGAGTCTGTATGAATGCAAGGTACCAGCGTCGTTCGTGGCCCGTTCTTTCCTATTTTCCACTGTTGCGGCTGTATTGAGCCAGCCCGGCGTGGGCCAGGAGGCGCCAGGTTGTTTTTCACTGCAGAAGCCGAGCTGTGCTGCCGACGTCACATGCAATCAACGAGTCGAGACGCACGTAGAGGACGCGGCGATGCCGTGTATTTGAGTTGCGTACTCGCGTCACACGCCCTGCATGAGCCCCAAGCCAGATTCGGATGTCTTGTAAGGCCGTCGTATCGCTTTTCGGTTTCGGCTTGGCACGCAAGTAGCCAGTGGAAAACCAGCCATAAACGGGAGGGCCCCCGCGCTGGCTCTGCTCGGATGTGCCAGTGGAAAATGGGGATTAGAATTCATCGTGGGAATGTGGAAAGGAAAAGAGGCCTGACCTGTCGTGTCTCCATGGGCAATCTCTTTTTTTTTTATTTTTTGCCAGATTCTGTGGGAGGTGCTCGCCCCCAACACGGAGAGCATGTGCGAGGGGCTGAGGCCCCCCTCTCCGCACAGCCGCAGCAAGGAGACGCTGTTCTTCCCTCTGGCCCAAAACCACTGGGACCCCCCCTTCGCCTCCGCACGTCACATTGTGAGACCCTCACTCGCATGCGTGACACCTAGCAGGTGGTGAGTGTCGCGTGGCCGTAATAATAATAATTTACATTTGTAAATCGCCCTTAAACAATCGTTCTCAAGGTGCTATGCATGGAAAGGCGGGAAATATCTAACAACAACCAAGTAAAGAAAAAGTGAGAAAGACGGCTGAAAATGACTAAAGAGAGAAAGCCATTTTAAACAGATACGTGTTTAGTTGAGATTTGAAGATTTGGAAGTGCTCTGCATTCGTGCCCTCGAATGGGCAAGGAGTTCCAAAGTTCAGGTGCCGCAATTGCAAAGGCACGATCACCCTAAGTGTGAATCCTCGACCGTGGGACAGTGAGCAATGTACAATCTGAAAATTTTAATGATCTAAGTGTCATGTGACTGTAGTGCTTTCAGCACATCGTGAAGTCTGCCTGCTATTTGCCCATCGGGTTCAGAAGCGTTAATCGATGCGGCTTGCGATCTGTCGCTGATCCCCTTCTGATTGTCATGTGCTGTTTAAATTGACAGCAAATTGCCGATTGGAAATGGTGACCTGGAAATGACATTGCATCTCACACGGCACGGAATTTGACTTTTGACCAATTCTACACTGATAAAAGTACCCAATTTCCAGTTTTAAAGGTTCTTAACTCAGGTCTGGGTGAGAGCTCAGCTCAGGCCATCGCATCTGTTGAGTCGACAAAACGGTGTAAATTTGTGTGAATCGTGGTGTGATCCTATGGAGAAATCTGGCCTGTACTTCATGTGGGTCAACCATACTGGCTGGGTACAATTATACACCCTCCAGGGTGGCTGGATAACCAGCGCGGTCAGTACCTGTGCCACTGAGCCCGGTTGCGTAGGTTCCGCACGTGTCCATGGTGGGCTCTTCGATGTTTTTAATTTTAGGCTTGTGCTGCGCATTGTTCGGCATTACGTCTGACGTTTTGCTACACCACGTGCGTAAATCAAATCACTGAAACTTCAGGAACTCGAATTCGGTTGTTGAAGAAGCTCGCGGGTGCATGGAACGAAATGTCGGACCTCGTGCCGGACAACACACACGGCATAACCCGAACGCATGTCGGTGAACTGTTACGGCACAACTGCATATACCTGGTCCTGTAGGTGGAGCACGGAGATTAGTATGTCGCCTGATGAGGTTGGTTGTAATTACCGGCGAAATGTCAGAGTACTTGAATTGTAAATGTTGTGAGTTTACTCTCCAACACACCGGTGTGCTGTACTAGTGTAATAAGTATTTAGGAGGCTTGGACGACGGGGTCGGAGGCACACTTATTTATTAACACCAACTCGTGCACAGTAACGGGTACACACAGTACTTAAAGGGATATCGTCCCCTTCACTCGTCTAACAGGGAGACACAACATCTAACCCCGCTAACCTACGCCCGAGTCCTCCACTACGGAGCTAGGGGAGGCTACCTATCCCAGCCCTGGTCAAGCTGGGATCCCGGCACCCTGAGTATCCAGACCGGCTCTTATAAGAACGTCAGTCTGGGCTCTCGGGGCCACGCCACCGGCTTGCCCTGGTCGGCCCTGACAAGGACAGCGAGCCAGGGGAGCTCCGGGGCCTATTTTAGCTGGTCTTCCGTCTTCGCTGGTTTAAGCTAATACTCGACCTCGAGCCCTCCGGCTCACCACCTTTTATAGTACTCGGCCCCCCCGGGAGGGGCCCGTGGGGGATGAGTGCGGACGTCGGTGTGAGCACCTTCTCTGTGTACGGCTCTAACCACGCCCCTAGTGTTTGTTAGCCATCCGTGCCCATGCATAAATACACCTCTACATCACCCCCCCCTGTACAGCTCGCAGCCGTCCCCGGCTGCAACAAAATCAGAATAAAGGTGCTCCCCACCCCAAAACCGTGTGTGCCTCGTGTAATTTTAACAAGAACAATGACAACCATAACAACAACAAGAAGAGAAAAAAAATAACCCGACGCACCCCCCCGAATAAATACCCCATTCCCCAAAACCAACATATATACACACACTCCGGACGCCTCCCCCCACTGTCCGCAAGGGCCCCCCAACGGCCGACCTCACAATAGTCTGCGCGTTTTGGCGCGCGTTCTCGCGGCGGGCCCGTCACAAGGGCCCGTCCCGGCACGCTCAGTGGCGGTTGTTGACGGTCCGGGTGCGAGAGAGTCTGGCTTGGCAGCCGAGTGACCCCCGACCCCCCCGGAAGGGGTTGGCGGGCGAGGACCCATCACTCCTGTTGCACCTGGAGATGGAACAGTTGATGTCAGGTTAGGCGAGAGCAGCGACGTCGGGGAGTCGGCGGACCCCTCACACGTTTGGCCATGCGTGTGTGTGTGTGTGAACCACGGGGCGGCGCAATGAACAGTTTCAACCTTGAGGGGTGCACGTACCACGGACGCCTCCCCCATTTGACGCGAACACATTGCGGCCGCAAGACCTGTACGACCTCCACGGGCCCCCGCCACGGCCGTACCAACTTTGACGAGGTCGCCAGCGGCACCTGGGGACAGTGCAACCATGCCCGGTCCCCTGGTTTCCATTTGAACACATGTACCCGCCCCAGCCTAAGCCTCTCGTTCGCCTTCTGGCGGAGTTCAGAATTTTGCACGGCCGCTTCCCGCGCCTCAGATAATTTGGCGATGTTAAATTTAACGTGTTCGGACAAGGTAGACTTCGCCTGAGGCACCGAGAGCTTGAGCTGGGTCGTCACAGGGGGGTTAGCCTCGCGGCCATACATTAAAAAGAAAGGGGAAAATCCGGTGGCCGCGTGGGGAGCCATCCTGTAGGCTTGTAACACACCGGAAATGCGAAGGTCCCAATCTGTCTGGGATTCCGATACCTGCTGGGACAGCATGGACGTGATAGTCCGATGCAGCCGTTCCACCATCCCATCAGTTTGTGGGTGATACGGGGAGGTCCGAATTTTCTCCTTACCCAAGAGGTCGCACACCTCGCGGAGGAGTTTCCCCGAAAAATTCTTACCCTGGTCAGTCAGCAGCCGTTCCGGAGCACCCTTGTCGAGGACATAGCCCTGGACAAAGGCCTCCGCGATGGCTGCTGCCGACTGGTTGGCCAGAGGCCAGGCCATAGGCCATCTCGTGAAGTATTTGACCCCTGTCAATAAATACCTATTTCCCCTGGGTGTAGCGGGAAATGGGCCGAGAATATCCAGAGCAACGAGCTCGTTAACCCGGGAAACCTTTATGGACTGCAGCGGAGGGTTGGACCCCCTCGCTGGTGGCTTCCGCTGCGCGCATTGCGTGCACGACCCCAGGAGATCCCCCACGTCCTTTGCCATGCCCGGCCAGAAGAAATCGAGCTGGAGCATGGCAAAGGTCTTGTGAACCCCCAAGTGCAGGAGCCGCTCATGCGCAGCCCATACCACCTTACCCCTCAATGCTGCAGGCACCACGAGCCGTTGGCAGCGGGATTTTCCGTCCCAGTGCATTAAAAGCCCCTGGAACAACCCCCACGAGTCAACGTTCGCCACCCCCTGACCAACCCCCCCGGTGCGACGGCGCAGAGCGCGGAGGGAGGTGTCCTCCATTTGGAGGCGTCCCCACTCCGCAACCGATAACCCCAGCAACGAATCCCTCCCTTCTTGCTCGAAGGCGCATCGGCGGCGGCCACGAAGACCGAATCGGTGGTCACGTTCGGGGGCCTACAACGCCCCGAACCCAAGAGGCAGGCGCACTCCGAAGTGGGTGGCAACCGCGACAGGGCGTCAGCGTTCGTGTGGCGGATGCCCTTACGATATGTGGTGACAAAGTCGTAGTCTTGGAGAATCTCCAACCATCGAGACAACTGCCCCGATGGTTGTTGAACCCGCAAGGCGTACTGTAGAGCGGCATGATCTGTACGGACGGTGAAACGCCGACCGTACAGATACGGGCGGTACTGCTGAATGAAATAAACAATTGCCAATAATTCCCGACGGGTAACGCAGTACCGTTGTTCCGCCGGAGACAGTACTCGACTACCGTAAGCCACCACATGCTCTACGCCCCCAATGAGCTGGGACAGCACGCCCCCAATGCCCGTGTTACTTGCGTCTGTATCGAGCAAGAAGGGTTGTGAGAAATCGGGGTAATTCAACGGCGGAGCCACCACCAGGGCATTCCGGAGGGCGCGAAAAGCAGCCTCCTCCTCCGGCCCCCAATGAAACCTGACTCCCTTGGACGTCAAGGCATGCAATGGTTTCGCGATCGTAGCGAAGTCAGCCACAAACCGTCGGTAGTACGACGCGAACCCAATGAAACTCCTGACCTCTCCCACCGAGGTGGGAGTTGGCCAGGAGCTGACGCATTCCGTTTTGGCGGGATCAGTGGATATCCCCGAGCGCCCCACAATGTGACCCAAATACTGCACCGATTCGCGGAGCAAATGGCACTTCTGCGGTTTAAATTTCAAATTGGCAGCCCGCATTTTTAGAAAAACAGCACGCAACCTCTGGAGGTGTTCATCGAATGATTTGCTAAAGATGATGACATCGTCCAAGTAAATTAAACATGAATCCCATTGCAAGCCTGCCAAGACCAGTTCCGTTAACCGCTGAAAAGTTGCTGGCGCAGAATGTAAGTCCATCGGCAAGCGGTTAAATTGGAAGAGGCCTTGCGGTGTACGGAAAGCCGTCTTAGGTTTGGATTCGTCATCCAGAGGAAGCTGCCAGAATCCAGAAAGTAAATCCAGGGTGGAAAAGAATCGCGCCCCCGCCAAGGCATCGAGCGACTCATCCATTCGAGGAAGCGGGTACGCATCTGCCACAGAAATTTTGTTCAATCGCCGAAAGTCGACACAAAACCGCAGTGAGCCGTCGTGCTTTTTCACCAAAACGATCGGCGCGCCCCACGGGCTGTTGGAAGGGGAAATGATATCGGCGGCTAGCATGTCATCAACGGCCGATTTGACATGATCCTTTTCGGCGGGACTCAGTCGGACAGGTCCACTGATCCCGCGCAAAGCGCATCCAGCCATCCGTCATCACAGTCCGAATGCGGTCGCGA